GCCTACGTGACTGCCCTCGTCTGCTGCCCGTCCCTTCCACTGACGGTCTATATAAACGCAGTCTTCTGCACTTTGCTCCGATTCTCTCCACCACGATGCTGTGAACTCTAACTCCATGTCTGAGGCCGAGGGCTGATTACCTCATCTTTTGTATATAGTTCTACTGTCTTCCTATTATGTCCTAGAATCTGTATTGATAAAGCCACTGGATGGCGAAACGTCTACAAAAAAGATATCCAGATGTTGCACATGTGTCTTAACTTTCATATTGTCGGTATTTTATACCTTTCTTGTACAACTTGTCAGACACTGCAACATCATGGAATTTTGGGTTTTCAGAGGACATCTACAAGACCTTCTTCACGGCTGCTGCAACTAACCCATCTCTTTGGGAAGGACCTACTTCCACTGGGGAATCCCGCCTACCAGTGACTGCCCTCGTCTGCTGCCCGTCCCTTCCACTGACGACTATATAAACGCCAGTCTTCTTGCCTTTGCTCCAGATTCTCCTCCACCACGATGCTGTGAACACTAACTCCAAGGCCGAGGGACTGATTACCTCATCTTTTGTATATAGTTCTACTGTCTTCCTATTATGTCCTAGAATCTGTATTGATAAAGCCACTGGATGGCGAAACGTCTACAAAAAAGATATCCAGATGTTGCACATGTGTCTTAACTTTCATATTGTCGGTATTTTATACCTTTCTTGCACAACTTGTCAGACACTGCAACATCATGGAATCTTGGTTCAGAGGACATCTACAAGACCTTCTTCACGGCTGCTGCAACTAACCCATCTCTTTGGGAAGGACCTACTTCCACTGGGGAATCCCGCCTACCAGTGACTGCCCTCGTCTGCTGCCCGTCCCTTCCACTGACGACTATATAAACGCCAGTCTTCTTGCCTTTGCTCCAGATTCTCCTCCACCACGATGCTGTGAACACTAACTCCAAGGCCGAGGGACTGATTACCTCATCTTTTGTATATAGTTCTACTGTCTTCCTATTATGTCCTGGAATCTGTATTGATAAAGCCACTGGATGGCGAAACATCTACAAAAAAGATATCCAGATGTTGCACATTGTCTTAATTTTACATTCGGTAAACCATAGGAAACAGTTAGGAAACTTTATTCCGAAACGTTTCGCACCAGTAGGCTTTCTTCGCGAATACAGAAATAGGCAGGAACTTTAAGAGGGAAGACGATGAAATCAGTCCACCCCCTTTTAAGTCGTAAAATTTTGAGGTTGTCAGCCCCTCACCCGGAGAAGTTAGTTCCATATCAGGACTGCGCTTGATCTTCAGATAGTTCCACTAGGGAAATGAAATTTCTCCAGGCTGAGGGACTGACAACCCCCAAATTCTCCGACTTTAAGGGGGATGGACTGATTACATCGTCTTCACATTTTTACTGTTCCTGTGTCTGTATTCGACTAAAAAGCCTACTGCATAGGGAAAAAGTTTTGGAATAAAATTGTAACTGTTGCCTATCGTCTTACCACCAACCCTGACCCCTTTTATAAATTAGACACTTGCAAATCTTGGGTATCTTTATTTAGGAAAAGTTTGCCACACAGTGGCTTCATCAGTCCATACGTAGGAGAAACTTGAAGAACAGGGGGAGAATGAGGTAATCAGTCCCTCAACCTTGAGTCAATGTGTTCAGTCCATCAATCTTGAATAGAATACTGCATATGAGCGGAGAAGCAGCTTATAAACCGTATGGCAGGAGAGGTGCAGCAGTCATAGGTGGTGTCACATTTGTTCAATGTGGAAGTAGGTCGTGCCCAAGAATTAGGCAAGCGAAGAATTCCTAAGTATTAAGATTCCATGACTGATGGAGTCACTGTGTGGCGAAACGTTTCCTCAATAAAGATACCCAAGAGTTGCACATGTGTCTAATTTATCAACATGTCGGTTCTCTGAACCATTCATCTACAAAACTTGTCAGACACTGCAACTTCTTGGGATCTTAATACTTAGGAATTCTTCGCTTGTCTAATTCTTGGGCACGACCTACTTCCACATTGAACAAATGTGACACCACCTATGACTGCTGCACCTCTCCTGCCATACGGTTTATAAGCTGCTTCTCAGCTCATATGCAGTATTCTATTCAAGATTGATGGACTGAACACATTGACTCAAGGTTGAGGGACTGATTACCTCATTCTCCCCCTGTTCTTCAAGTTTCTCCTACGTATGGACTGATGAAGCCACTGTGTGGCGAAACGTTTCCTCAATAAAGATACCCAAGAGTTGCACATGTGTCTAATTTATCAACATGTCGGTTCTCTGAACCATTCATCTACAAAACCATGACCTGCACATAGCCGTGCAAAGGGCTCTGTGCTGGGTCTGTCAAATTTGCGTGTGAGACTCCACATTACTTCACTCTTACCCAAGTTCTGGAGTTCATCAAACACTCCATTTTACTTTTGGTAACAAAACAAAACTGTACCACCTCTCCAGAACCAACTTCAAAAAGTTTGAGAACTGCTCTTCTACAATTCTTCCTCGTTAAATAACATCTACAACTGAGCTGCCTCTGTTGTCCCCCCCTGCCTCCCCTCCTTCGACCAAACATGTTGCAAGCTACCCAAGCTACCCCGTGTCTCCAGTCTGCCCCACAAGCACCTTGCTACTGGGTCAAGCCCTGGCACTTTCTGGACATTCCTCTCCAATGCTATTCTTCGCCTGTCCCGTCTTTCAAGCTCACCCCATATGGGGTCTTACCTAAACTTTCATGTTTTGTCTTTGATCTGCTATAGACCTCCATGGGATGGGCGGATGTATATATAGTTATGTAGGATAATGATGAAGAAGTTTCTTGGCAAGGTGTTTGGCTATGTTATAGAAGCCATTATTCTGTTTGAAGTTGTTAGATATACTGATAAGTGATGATTCCAGGATTCTGCAGGATTGAGTATTTTCTTCTCTGGTGATAAATTTTGCGTTTCTGTAACTGATTAAATGGTTGTTGAAGTTTGGAGAAACCTAAAATTATATAGAATCTTTCATCTCGTCCAATATCCAGTACATAAACCGAAGCCCTCAGCTTAGGCCTCAAATTTGCTACAGGAATCACGAAACCAAAACAAGACCTGAACAAGACGGAATGCGACAGATAACACCTTTCCCACAACGCAGGAGCTAGAATTCGTTAGGGAAGGACCACAGAAGCTAAAAATAGAAAAGAAATGGGGAGGGGGGGGATCGGGCAGGGAAGGGAGGAGTGGGGTTAATTAGGGTAGGTCGAAGGAAGAAGACCGAAAGGTCCTATTCTTCAGACCAAAAGCTTTTTCACCTTATCAAGGAGCCCCCCTTGAAGAGGTCAGGGAAAAACAACAAAGTCGACAGCTCTTACCACCGGTAAAACCATCATCCATAAGGTTGAAAATGATATTGTAGTGGTACCAAGTACAGATCTAAGAACAAGGTCAGAGTCTGCACCTGTGCCAAGGGCAGGAAATTCTACATAAAGACATAAGAACATAAGAACATAAGAAAGGAGGAACACTGCAGCAGGCCTGTTGGCCCATACTAGGCAGGTCCTTTACAATTCATCCCACTAACAAAACATTTGCCCAACCCAATTTTCAATGCTACCCAAGAAATAAGCTCTGGTGTTTGTAGATGACTGGTTCAGAGAACCGACATGTTGATAAATTAGACAAATGTGCAACTCTTGGGTATCTTTATTGAGGAAACGTTTCGCCACACAGTGGCTTCATCAGTCCATACAAAGGAGAATCTAGAAGAACGTTTCATTATCTTAATGGATTTCTCTTTGAACATAAATTCATGTGTAGAACACAGCACTAATAACTTAAAGGTAGTAGATAGAGGCAAGACTACATACACTATTATGGCCGGGGACAAAGTCTACCTCACGTTACATAAAGAGGACTGAAACAGCTGTAAGCTGCTTTATTTCTTATGTACAACACTGAGGTGAAACCAAGGCACTTCGACACTCTCTAAATGACTCTTATTATCTCCTGTCATCTTGTGATGTAGTTCAGCTGATCGTCTCACTCATACGCCCAACAAACTATCACATTACCTAGTTCATCACCTCCATCCATCAAGTGACTGGACGAGTTAGAGAAGCATTCATATGAGACCTCTGCTGTTCCTGATGTCGTTTTTATCTATTTGCCCATATATCTACCTCGGCCAGTGTCTCGGACTCAAGACCAGTGTGAAGAACAAAAAGGCACAATACTGTGACTGGAACAATACACAAGTAACCTGTGACTAATTATGGGTCCAAGTCGGACCCAAACATCAATTACTCATTGCTATGTGATGGTTACTGTGTATAAGACCAGTGTATTATGAGCTGAATGTTAAATGTCGAAGCTGTCGAGCTGAATGTCGAGCTGAATGTTGTGACAACTGAGAAGAAATATTTATTATTGAAAATGTTTCGTCTTTCTTCATTATTTCTGTTATTTCTAAAAATGTGAGAATGTTATATACACTTCTAAGGCAAACAAATTGTTTACAAAGCTCTTATTTATATTGTTATCGGCCAGACTAATAAATTTTTTATGTGCTGTAAAGAAGCTCGGTGACACTGCATGACTGGAATGTTGCTGACAGACTGTGCAAAGCATGACTGGAATGTTGCTGACAGACTGTGCAAAGCATGACTGGAATGTTGCTGACAGACTGTGCAAAGCATGACTGGAATGTTGCTGACAGACTGTGCAAAGCATGACTGTTTAACATGAAGGTAAATATCCATTGAAGACGTTGACTTTGATGTCAAAGAATATTTTTCTATTTAAAGAACTTAAGCCATTTATTTTCTCTTCAATTAAAACAATAATAAACCCCCTTATTATCCAGGTGCTTTATTATCCTTCCGGGTTTATTACTTACCTATAAATATAATAAATAATAAAGTAATTTAAGTGTTGGTGAGGACAACAAACATAAATTGCATTCCTCTTAACTTAGAGATAATATAATGTAAATATTTACTCACTGGTGACGGTGTAAGGAAAGCCGAGGCCACAGTATCTGTCTGCTGGGAATGTTGTAATATCGTTGGCATACATAGTGTACCTGCCTCCAGGAATGACCACGTAGTCTGTCGTACAGTCTTCGTTCCGACTGTTAGCTTCGAAGGTACCTGTGTAAAATCTGAATTAAGTCTGACATTCTCTGAATCTGACAGTAAAATCTATGTGCTGAGGTCTATGAAATTTACTGTTTTTGAGATAACTAGAAAGATTAATTCCTATATTAGGCTAAAAGAGTCAGTACATTGTTTTCTTCATTATATAATACAACTAGAGTGTGTTTGTGTCTGTCTGTCTGTCTTACCAATTAAATATGGAAGCAGAGTATTTGTATCTCCAGAGAGTGTAAAACTATAGTCGCCGTCGTTGGTGTTGCGGTCATAAATGATGCCACAGTAGTCGTCAGCTCTCTTGATGCACACACCGTAGTCCTGGTTGGCCAGCTGCACTATTTCTGCACCTATGGGACGGGTGAAGTTTGATATGAGGAAAGAAATATACATATATTCAATAGAGTATATATATGTGGGATTAATAAAAAAAAGTGCTAAACCCACTAGGGTCATACAGCGCTGCAGGGCAGGTGTAGCTGAATAATCATAGAGTACTAAGGGCGGAGAGGATAAAGGTCTAGTTAAAAAGGGCCGTGAGGAAGGATTACTAAATGTGTGTAATAAATTGGTTGCAACTAAAAAGTTAAAGGGAGAGTCTGTGTCAAAGGTGGGGCCGTCAGCGAGGAGGGAAGTCAAAGTAACGCTGTTAGAGCGGTGACGACGTTGGAGGTAAATTCTCCGTGTTTGTTGATATACAGGAAAGTCCAACAGAATGTGGCAAACTGAAAATGGAACCTGACATTTCTCACCGAGTGGAACAGGGCGCCTCTCCATGAGATACCCGTAAGACGGGTGTGTCCAGTGCAAAGACAGGAGAGCATTGTCTCCCAGCCTCGGCAACGATGACAAGGCCAGAAAGCTAAACTTGGTTTGATAGAATATAATTTATGAGTCATATCAGACCAATGTTGCTGACAACGGATGCAAAGGAGGTTAGAGATTACAGCAAAATAGTCCAAGAATGGAATACTTCTATATGAAACTGGGAGACTGTGCACTCTAGATCGTGCAGCAGAGTCTGCCTGCTCATTGCCCTGAACATCAACAGGGACCCAGTAGAAAATGATTTCTTTATTTCTGCTAGCAATGCAACGCAACCAAAGTTGTTTACGAAGAACTAGGTGATGAGGTGAATCCAATGTTTTAATAGCTTGCAAAGCACTAAATGAATCTGAGACGATTACAAACGTTGAAATAGGCATAGATACAATGCAGATAGTTGCAACTAGAAATGCATAGAATTCAGCTGTAAAAATGCTTGAAAATTCTAATAAATGAACTTGCACTATGCTGTCCGGGAACACTGCTGCAAACCTAACACCATCAGAGGATTTAGAACCATCAGTATACACTGAAATTGAATGAAGATGGGACTATAGGTATTCTGGCTTTCGCGTACGGCAGTGGGGAAGAACAGACACAAGCTGTTGGAACCTCCCGAGGGAGAAGTGAGAAGCTAGATGAACATATAAAGGGGGCAACTGAAGAGAAGAAAAGAACGAGCAAAGACGAAGAGAAAAGAGACGGAGTAAATAGGGGCAGCGAACAAATAATGGACTTTATTAACGTCCATTACTATCCTATAAGTATACAAGGATCGTGAAGGTCACGAGAGCGGACAAAACAGTGGAGGCAATGAGCATCACGATGATCGTTCAAGGATGGAACATTTGCCTCTGCACAGAGGCTCTCGACAGGTGAGGAGCGAAAAGCACCTAGACAAACGTAATCTCTGGTGATGGATGGGATCAAGTTTAGAAGGAGTTGCAGGAGCGACCGCAGAATATATCTCGTCACCATAATTTAGCATTGGTAAAATTATGGTTGAATACACTCCAAGGAGAGTTCGACGATCCGCCTTCCATCAAAGATGAGCGAGGGTTTCAAGAAGGTTCAGTCGGTTATGGCAAGTTGCTTTCAAGGAGGCAATGTGAGGTTTCCAGGACAACTGGCAATCAAACAGAAGACCGAGAAATCAGGTTGCAACACTTGGGTTGGAAACAGTAAATGTATAAAAGGCATTCAGCATGAATTATAAATAAAGACAATAGATCAGGTCAGCAACAAAGGGGACAGCAGAGGGCAGCAAGGGACTAGCTCCCTTAAGGTTTACTATACTAATAGCAGGAGTGTAAGAAATAAGATAGATGAGCTAAGATTAATTGCAAGTGCAGGAAACATAGATATTATTGCTATAACAGAGACCTGGCTCAATCTGAAAGATAGAGAGATGCCCTCTGAATGTCACATACAAGGCTATAAATTATTCCACACTGACAGGGTCAACAGGAAAGGTGGTGGAGTAGCGATGTATGTCAGAGACAATTTAAATTGTTGTGTTAGACAAGATATTAAATTAGAAGCGTCAGCCACTGAATCTGTTTGGTTACAGCTTCTCGAGGGCCGAGAAAAACTAATTTTGGTGTGATTTACAGGGCCCCAAATCTTGATAGGGAGTGCAGTAAACTTCTATGGGACGAAATTCGTAAGGCATCTACAAAACGAAAATGTTGTGCTAATGGGAGATTTCAACTATAGACAGATTGACTGGAGCAATTTGACAGGAAATTTAGAGTCAGGTGACTTTCTTGATACGATCCAGGATTGTTTTTTTAAAACAGTTTGTGACAGAGCCAACTAGGGGAAATAACCTCCTTGACTTGGTTCTTGCCATAGGGAAACACTAATTAATAATCTTGAGGTTAATGATGAGCTTGGGAAAGTGATCACAAATCACTCAGTTTTAATATATCATGGAATTCCCCTAATAATGGCAATCAAGTCTCCGTCCCTGACTTTCGCTTGGCTGATTTCATAGGGCTGAAAAATTACTTAGGTGGGCTGAACTGGAATGACCTGACTAAGGGTCAGGTAGGTGGTGATGGTTGCCGATATGATGCTTTCCAGGGCATAGTTCTAGCTGCTCAGTCAAATTATGTTCCAAATAGGGAAATCAGATCAAACAAAAAATGATCCTAAATGGATGAACAAATAGATTAAAATATCTGATTGGTCAAAAGAGAGGCATATATAGGCAAATCAAAAGAGGAGAGGGCAATTGAGAAATCGATATATTCAGTTAAAGAGAGAAATAAAAAAGGGAATTAGAAAAGCAAAAAGAGATTATGAGGTTAAAGTTGCAAGAGAATCGAAGACTAACCCAAAAGGATCTTTCAGGTATACAGAAGTAAGATCAGGGACAAGATAGGCCCACTCAAAAGTTCCTCGGGTCAGCTCACTGACAGTGATAAGGAAATGTGTAGAATTTTAACACATACTTCCTCTCAGTTTTTACACAGGATACCAGCGATATTCCAGTAATGATAAATTATGTAGAACAGGACGATAAAAAACTGTGCACTATTAGGGTCACAAGTGACATGGTCCTTAGGCAAATAGATAAATTAAAACCTAACAAATCCCCAGGCCCTGATGAACTGTATGCAAGGGTTCTAAAGGAATGTAAAGAGGTGCTTAGCACACCTTTGGCTAATCTTTTCACATATCACTACAAACTGGCATGGTGCCAGATAAGTGGAAAATGCAAATGTGATACCTATTTTCAAAACAGGTGACAGGTCCTTAGCTTCGAACTATAGACCAATAAGCCTAACCTCCATAGTGGGAAAATTTATGGAATCAATAATTGCCGAGGCAGTTCGTAGCCACCTTGAAAAGCATAAATTAATCAACGAATCCCCAGCATGTTTTACAAAGGGGCGTTCCTGCCTTACGAATTTATTAACTTTTTTCACTAAGGTATTTGAGGAGGTAGATCATGGTAATGAATATGATATTTGTATATGGACTTCAGTAAGGCTTTTTGACAGGGTCCCACATCAGAGACTATTGAGGAAAATTAAAGCACATGGGAAAAGGAGGAGAAATTTTTTCCTGGATAGAGGCATGGTTGACAAATAGGCAGCAGAGAGTTTGCATAAATGGGGAGAAATCAGAGTGGGGAAGTGTCACGAGCGGTGTTCCACAGGGTCAGTGTTGGCCCCCTGCTGTTCACAATCTACATAAACGACATAGATGGGGCATAAAGAGCGACATCGGCAAGTTTGCCGATGACACCAAAATAGGCCGTCGAATTCATTCTGACGAGGACATTCGAGCACTCCAGAAGATTTGAATAGACTGATGCAGTGGTCGGAGAAGTGGCAGATGCAGTTTAATATAGACAAATGCAAAGTTCTAAATGTTGGACAGGACAATAACCATGCCACATATAAACTAAATAAAAGTAGATCTTAATATACGGATTGCGAAAAAGATTTAGGAGTTCTGGTTAGCAGTGATCTGAAACCAAGACAACAGTGCATAAGTGTTCGCAATAAAGCTAATAGAATCCTTGGCTTCATATCAAGAAGCATAAATAATAGGAGTCCTCAGGTTGTTCTTCAACTCTATACATCCTTGGTTAGGCCTCATTTAGATTATGCTGCACAGTTTTGGTCACCTTTTTACAGAATGGATATAAATTCTCTGGAAAATGTACAAAGGAGGATGACAAAGTTGATCCCCTGTATCAGAAACCTTCCCTATGAGATAGACTAAGGGGCCCCGAATCTGCACTCTCTAGAAAGACGTAGAATTAGGGGGATATGATTGAGGTGTAAATGGAAGACAGGAATAAATAAAGGGGGTGTAAATAGTGTGCTGAAAATATCTAGCCTAGACAGGACTCGCAGCAATGGTTTTAAGTTGGAAAAATTCAGATTCAGGAAGGATATAGAAAGTACTGGTTGGTATAGAGTTGTGGATGAGTGGAACAAACTCCCAAGTACAGTTATAGAGGCCAGAACGTTGTGTAGCTTTAAAAATAGGTTGGATAAATACATGAGTGGATGTGGGTGGGTGTGAGTTAGACCTGATAGCTTGTGCTACCAGGTCGGTTGCCGTGTTCCTCCCTTAAGTCAATGTGACCTGACCTGACTAGGTTGGGTGCATTGGCTTAAGCCGTAGGAGACCTGGACCTGCCTCGCATGGGCCAGTAGGCCTTCTGCAGTGTTCCTTCGTTCTTATGTTCTTATGTGAGCCATATAGGTGAGCCATATAGGTAGAATGGAGTATCAGGGACAACAGAACGTCTGGTGAAAGTAATATGGTGTGTTTTAGCACTAGAAAAATTTAAACCCATGAATAGTGGCCCAGAGAGAAACATGGTTGACATCATTCTTTAGTGAGGCAGTTACTAGGCGACAGTGAGCGTCTGCACAAGCTATAAGGAAGTCATCATCATAAAGTGATGACCGAATATTAGGTTGGAGAACAGAGGCCAGATCATTTACAGCAAGTAGAAAAAAAGAGTGGTGCTAAGGACACATCCCTTAAGGACACGTGCAGCTTGGACAAAGTCCAGGGAAAGCAAATTAATCCGAACAAGGAAATGTCTCTTAGTTAACAGGTTTTTAAGGAAAAATGGCAGATTGCCTCGGAGGCCTAAGGAAGGAGCCTAGGCCACGATGTTATATCTCCAGGTAGTGTCATATGCCTTATCATCATCATCATCAAAAAAAATGGAATAACTGAGTGGTTTTTTAAACGATTAAGGTGTCAAATAGTAAGCAGCCATTACGAAAGCCATATTGACGAAGGAGAGATTATTGTCTCTCTAAATACCACATTAAGCGTCTATTTACTAGATGTTCCATCACCTTTCATACTGCACTGGTAAGAGCAATGGGACGATAGTGTGAGGTATCATGTCCTGAAGTACCTGGTTTACATAAAAGTAGAACAATGACGGATTTCCACAGCTGGGGAAGAACTCCTTGCGACCAAATAAGATTAAATAGAAGAAAGAGGACAACAAGGACTATGGGATTTAAGTATTGGAGCATACGAATGTGAATGCCGTCAGTCCCAGCTGCTAATGATCGACAAACGGAGTGTTGACTCTGGTTCTAAAAGTGTAAAAGGCACATTATAAGACCCTTCTCCGCTAGAAGAAAAATTTAAGGGCAGTAACTCTCTGGGAGATTTGGAGGAAAGAAACGAAGGGCATAGATGGAGTCCTTGAGAGATACAGACAAGATGATAAGGGGTCTCCATGGCAACTTCAACTGGGTTTGCAACACTGACACCGGCAACCTGAAGAATGGGAGCCGGGTCGGGAGAGTACTTGCCACTCAATTTTCGTAAGTTTTTTCGAAACTGTATTCCATACAGGAACCGAAGGGAAGGTGTAAACATAATCCGCCAACAATTACGTTTAGAGTCACGGATGACATGTCGGACGACCGCTCTCGCCAGCTTCAAATCGAGGAGTCACTCTGTGGAATTACTGTAACGATATCTGCCAAATGCAGCACTTTCACACGTACTGCACGAGCACGAGCAGGAGACAACCATGGCACGCATTTCTGAGAATGCCTGTTCAAGGTCTGAGGTATAGAATATGAAGCTGTGGTTAAAACTGGGGTTGAAAATAGGTATAACAGTTCATCAGTAGAGAACGAAGGTCCCTCACTACAAGCAGTTTAGCGTGGGTTAAGGTCACAATTCGCTTGTTCAAGTTTCCAACGTTGGCTTCGAGAAGGGTGAGAATATGAATGGGAAGGAGGATAGGAAAATGATTGCTGTCATGTAAATCTGGGAGCAAAGACCAAGTAAAGTCAAGTGAGCTGACTAGTCATGAAGATTGGGGAAGGGCAAAGAAGACCGCAAACGGAGTACAATCTAGGGATGCCAGAGACAACAAATCTCACTTAAGGAAAAGGATCCTGTGGTGAGTATAACACCAGGCACATCTGAAGTGCACATCAACCAAATAACTGCTGCCGCATACGGACGCTTAGCAAACCT